GAAGGAAGGAAGGAAGGAAGGGAAGGAAGGAAGGAAGGAAGGGAAGGAAGGAAGGAGGGAAGGAAGGAAGGGAAGGAAGGAAGGAAGGAAGGAAATGAGAATGTGGCTTAGTGGAAGAGGGCTTGCTAGAATGTGTGAAGCCCAGGGTTCAATCCTCAGTACTGCATAAATGAAAAAAAAAAAGAACAGATGACTGAGTGAATGAAGAATAAATGTACAACGTATGTAACATATATATGTGGATGTACATATGTATATTTATACATATGCATGCTCTATATATGTGTGTGTAAATATATACATATTGCAATCTCCTATTTTCCCAAAAAGATGCAAAAGTTTTCTGACCAATTAATGTACATCAACTTTTTTGGATGTAGAAAACTGTGCCTATTCATTAATAATTTACTATCACTTTTTAAAAAAATTTTTTTGCCCATCCTGGGGCTTGAACTCAAATGTCTGGGCCTTGTCCCTGAGCCTCTTTGTGCTCAAGATTAATGCTCTACTACTTGAGCCACAGCACCACTTCTAGCTTTTTCTGAGTGGTTTATTGGAGAAGAGTCTCAGACTTTCCTGCCCAGACTGGCTTTGAACCATGATCCTCATATCTCAGCTTCTTGAGTAGCTAGGATGACAGGTGTGAGCCAGGACCCAGCGTCACATGTATCTTTTAATCATATAATGAAATACTGGCAGCTGTACTTCCTGTATTTGTGGGTTTGGCATCTGAGAATTCAACTAACATTTTTTTTTAGAACCTGTCTCTGGGCCTGGGCGCTGTCCCTGAGCTCTTCAGCTCAAGGCTAGTACTCTACCACTTGAGCCACAGTGCCACTTCCGGTTTTCTGGTGGCTTATTGGAGCTAAAAAGCTCACAGACTTTCCTGCCTGAGCTGGCTATGAACTGCAATTCTCAGATCTCAGACTTTTTTTTTTTGGCCAGTTCTGGGTCTTGAACTCAGGGCCTGGGCACTGTCCCTGAGTTTCTTTTGCTCAAGGCTAGCACTCTACCTCTTGAGCCACAGGGCCACTTCAGGCTTTTTCTGTATATGTGGTACTGAGGATCGAACCCAGGGCTTCATGTCTGTGAGGTACCACTGAGCCATATTCCCAGCCCCTCAGATTCCCTAGTAGCTATGATTACAGGTGTGAACCACCCTTTGTCTGTATTCAACATGTACTCAAGCTTTTGTTTCTTGTTGTTTGTAAACAATACAAGACAACCATTCACATCACATGAGCCTAACATAAAGGAGATGATGTCAGTCGTGCAGGAGGATGTGATGGGACAAATGCAGATACTACACCATTTTATTCTAAAGAATGGTTTGACTACCCCAAATTTGGCATCCCAGAATTTCTAGAACCAATTCTCTGAGGATACCTAGGATAATGTGGATTTCCATGCTTGCCCTTCATTTACATGTACATGAGTATGTACATATGCTTCCCCGCCATCATAAGAGCAGCATCTCAGTCTAAGTTTCCACAGTACATCACTTCAGCAGCTATTTGAAATACTACAGTTTAAAATCATCTATGATGCTTTCACTAAAATCCAACCTCACATCATAAGAAGTTACTCACAGCTTGTTCTTTTCGCTTGCTTCCCCCAGTCCCATGCGGGCTCTGGTAGTACTCCTTTCTAGTGGTGGCTCATCTTTTCTGGCATCTAATCCAGCCTCAGGAGGCCAGACCCCCCCAGGGCACTTGCTTGTGGAGGCCAGGGCTTGCCTCTTGGCCTCCACTCCCTGTGGCTCCTCTGGCTAAGGTCACCTAAGGCCACAAGCTTTCCTAAACAGTATTTTATTGTTCCAAAGGAAGGAAACAGAGGATCACCCTGGAATCTGAGAGCCGGTATAAAGATCCCCAGCGGGCAACTCTGCCTCGTGAGAGCTTTTCTGGGGAAAGCTCTGCCTTGTTGTGTTGTATTTTGTTTTCAAATATGGAATGCTTCAAAAACCTGTGAATTGCCGGGCGCTGGTGGCTCACGCCTGTAATCCTAGCTACTCAGGAGGCTGAGATCTGAGGATTGCGGTTCAAAGCCAGCCCGGGCAGGAGAGACTGTGAGACTCCTATCTCCAATAAACCACCAGAAAAACTGGAAGTGGCGCTGTAGCTCAAGTGGTAGAGCGCTCGCCTTGAGCTGAAGAGCTGAGGGACAGCGCCCAGGCCCAGAGTTCAAGCCCCATGACCGACAAAAAAAAAAAAAAAACAAACTTGTGAATTATCTTGGTGCAGGAGCCAAGCTAATCTTTGCTATATTGTATCATAATTTTAGTGTATGTGTCTGTGAAGTAAGCACTTTAAAAAAATAAACAGTTGTACTAAGTAGAATAGGTGCTAGTGGCTCATGCCTGTAATCCTAGCTACTCAAGAAGCTGAGATCTGAGGATCACAGTTCAAAGCCAGCCCAGACAAGAAAGCCCATGAGATTTTTTTTTTTTTGTCAGTATTGGGGCTTGAACTCTGGGCCTGAACGCTGTCCCTCAGCTCTTCAGCTCAAGGCAAGCACTCTACCACTTGAGCCACCGGTGGCTGCCCATGAGATTATTACCTCCAATTAACTACCAAAAAGCCAGAAATGGAGCTGTGGCTCAAATGATAAGAGTGCTAGCCTTGAACAAAGATGCTCAGGGATAGCACCCAAATGCTGGGTTCAAAGCTGGGCGCTGGTGGCTCATGCCTGTAATCCTAGCTACTCAGGAGGCTGAGATCTGAGGATCGCAGTTCACAGCCAGCCCAGGCAGGAAAGTCCGTGAGACTCGTATCTCCAATAAACCATTAGAAAACCGGAAGTGGCGCTGTGGCTCAAGTGGTAGAGCACTCACCTTGAGTTGAAGAGGGCAGGGACAGCTCCCAAGCCCAGAGTTCAAGCCCCATGACCGACCAAAAAAAAAAAAAAAGAAAAAAGAGGGTTGGGAAGGTGGCTCAGTGGTAGAGCACTTGCCTTGCCTTGCATGTATGAGGCCCTGGGTTCAATTCCTCAGCATCACATAAACAAAAAGAAAAAAGCCGGAAGTGGTGCTGTGGCTCAAGTGGTAGAGCGTTAGCCTTGAGCAGAAGAGCTGAGGGACAGCGCCCAGGCCCAGAGTTCAGGCCCCACAACCGGACCCCTCCCCCCCCAAAAAGAGAGAGAAACTAAATGCTGGGTTCAAGCTTCAGGATTGGTACACACACACTTGTACAAAGTGGTCACAATTCCATAAGTCAGGCTATGAGAACAGTGCTTCTTGGTCAATGTCACCCCTTCCTTTGTTTTCCCACATGTTCACCATCCCACCTACACCTTTCCCTCCCCTCAAGTTTACAGTTCATTTTTTACATAATGCATATTGAATATAAGGACTACATTTGGTCACCCTTTCTCCCTCCATTCCTGTGCCCTCTTCCCCTCCCCACCTCCCAAAACATGTTTCCACTTCCTGATACTCATTTTGATAAGCAGTATATTTGTTGCTCAGAGGAGTTCCACCTGAGGGTCCCTGACCTATGCAGACCCTCCTTCAGTCACCTTGTTTGTGTGTATATGCATAGTGCCTGTGTGTGTTAGCACACATATTTGTATTTTAGATCTAGCGTCTACATGTGAGAGACAACATGAGCCATTTGCCTCTCCGAGGCTGGCTTACTTCACTTAGCATGATCCATTCATTTGTCTGCAAATGACATAATCTTACTGCTTTTTTTTTTTTTGGTGGGTCCTGCGGTTTGAACTCTGGGCCTGGGCGCTGTCCCTCAGCTCTTCAGCTCAAGGCTAGCACTCTACCATTTTAGCCACAGTGCCACTTATGATTTTCTGGTGGTTTTATCAGAGATCAGAATCTCATGGACTTTCTTGCCCGGGCTGGCTTTGAACTGTGATCCTCAGATTTCAGCCTCCTGAGTAGCTAGGATTATAGGTGTGAGCCATCAGCACTTGGCTAATCTTACTGTTTCTAATGGATGAGTAAGATTCCATGTGTAGGGGCTGGGAAGGTGGCTCAGTGGTAGAGCGCTTGCCTTGCATGCATGAGGACCTGGGTTCGATTCCTCAGCACCACATAAGCAGGAAAAAAAAAGCCGGAAGTGGCGCTGTGGCTCAAGTGGTAGAGCACTCGCCTTGAGCTGAAGAGCTGAGGGACAGCGCCCAGGCCCAGAGTTCAAGCCCCACGACCGGACCCAAAAAAAAAAAAAAAAGATTCCATGTGTACAGGTACCATATTTTCTTAATACATTCATCTATTTTAAGGCAGCTGGGCTGTTTCCATAACTTGGCTATTGTAAATAGCGCAGCAATAAACCTGGATGTGCAAGTATCTTTACCGTATCCTGACTGGTAGATGCCTAAAAGTGGTATGGCTGGGTCACAGAGAAATTCTGTTTATTTCAGGGGGGGGAGTTGGGTGCTAGTCTTGGGGACTGAACTCAGGGCATGAGGGATGTCCCTGAGCTTTTTTTTGTTCAAGGCCAGCACTCTTTCACTTGAGCCTCAGCTCCAGATTCACCTTTCTGGTGGTTAATTGGAGGTAAGAGTATCACAGACATTCCTGCCAGGGTTGGCTTCAAACCATGATCCTCAGATCTCAGTACTCTTTCTCAGTGTCTAAGATTACAGGCATGAGACATAATTATGTCACCCAGCTTCTCAATGTTGTATTTGCCTTGTTTTGAGCACAGGACAGAACAAAGCAAAGAAAGGAGCAGACAGACCTCAGAGTGGGACAGCACATGCGTACAGCAGGGTCCTGCTTGAGGAAGGCTGGGGGAGAGGAGGGGGGCGGGAGGGCGTGTCAGCCTACAGTGGCCTTTATTCCCTGGGACTTCCCTTCTGTTTATAACTGTGTTCTCGGTAGGTGAGGGGCCAGGAAAATGCCTTCCTGTGGCACACGGTCCTGCACTATATGCTTGGTAACTCACAAAGCACCATGGTGCTGTGGCCATGGACCTGAAGAACTACAAAGCATATGTGAACTACAGAAGAGACCCTCAGATTAGCTTTCAAAATAGTCTACATACCTCGAATTAGCTCATAAATATTCATGTCCATAAGTTCACATATTAGTGCAAGAGAACCAGATTTTCTGTCACTGAAGAAGAAAGCAAGTTTTAAGTTCTTTTGTCCTAAGCAGAAAATAGAATCAAATATCTAATTTAGTTGTGCATATTTCTAGTAAACATAAGGAATTCCCACACCAATGAAGGCTGCTATGTAGTTATTAGAATAGTAGAGGATTTGATTTTTAAAATAATATTCCAGCTAAAATTACTTTAAAATACTGCTTTAAGCAAAATTCTAGAATCCCTTTAAATATCTATCTATAAATCTATATTTATAGGTATATAGAATTAGTTGCCAGCAGAAAGAAGAAAAGAGGTTTGCATGTTCAGTTTGAATTTACTTAAATCACTGCACGTGCTGGAGAAAACTGACAGTGGGGAGCACACTCCAGACGAGGAGCCCGCGTCCCACGCGAGGCCGGCACAGAGCACTCAGGCCTGAGCACAGACCACTGTGGGTCCTCAGAGTCTGCAAGGGGACCACGGGAGACTCTGTGAAGGATATGTGGATTTAAGTCTGCAATGTCTCATCCTCTGGTGAAAATCTCCCATGCCTCAGTGGGCAGAGACCGGAGTCCTGTAGCTGATTTAACAGCCCAGCTCCCGCAGAGCCGCCACACAGCTTCCACAGCCAGGAGCAAGGCGCTCCTCCCGTGTCAGCACGCCCCGCAGCCCCACTCCCTGCTGGGGAGCCTGCGAGGGGTGGGTGTGCACAGCAGAGCTGCTGTGGGCCAGCCCATGGGCCAGGGCGGTGCCCTCGGATGGTGCACAGTGCCTTCTTGCTTAGTAGGTAAATGTTATGGAAACTGTTCTATAATTAGAACAGAAATGGAAACTGCCCAGAAATGACATCAATGATTGTTAGAAAGGCTATGAAAATGGCCAAGTCGAGGCTAGCAGGACAAGGAGAGATGCAAGGCCCCCAGAATACCAGTAAGTTGTGCTGCCCTACAAGGACATCGCCTCTTGGAAGCCCGGAGGGCGTTTATGACTAGGCTCACCTACACAGAGCCACTGTGATGCTGCAGGACCAGCAAATACGCTGTGTCTAACCACGGTGTCCTTTTTTCTTTTTCTTTTTGTTATTGGTCATAGAGCCTGAGCTCTGAGTGTGGGTGCTGCCCCTCAGTTCTTCAGCTAGTGCTCTAGCTCTTGAGCCACAGCACCACTTCTGGCTTTTTCTGCTTATGTGGTACTGAGGAATCGAACCCAGGGCCTCATGCATGCAAGGCAAGCACTCTACCACTGAGCCACCTTCCCAGCCTCACAGTGTCCTTAAGGAGAGAACTGCTACAGTGAGATCACTTTTCAAGCTCCAAAATACTTACAAAACCACTTCGTATAGTGTGAGGATGTTGGGGTGCGGGTTCAGGCGCCTCAGGGCTTGAATCTCCCGCAGACTGTTCACTTGATCAATGCTATTGTATAGGTAAAAACAGATACTTTGTTTACAATTAGGTCAACTTTAACACTAGTTATTAAAGCATGTTCATTAATTTCACTAATATTCCAAACAAGTTAAATCGGATTTTATTTTCCTATGAGAAACTGAACTAAAGCTTATTTCTTATTTTTGCCCATCTAATATCATAAAAGAATCTTAGGTAGTTTCTTTTACTACATATTAATAAGCAGAAATAGATACAAAGATTTACAATTACATTATTAGTATTTATTAATAATTAAGATTAGGGGCTGGAAATGTGGCTCAGTGGTAGAGTGCTTGCCTTGCATGCATGAGGCCCTGGGTTCAATTTCTCAGCACCACATAAGCAGAAAAAGCTGGAAGTGGCACTGTGGCTCAAGTGGTAGAGTGCTAGCCTTGAAGAGTTGGGGGACAGTGACCAAGCCCAGAGTTCAGGCCCCACCGACAAAAACAAAGAAAGAAACAGAATTTTTAGTTCCAGGAGCAGACCCATTCCCCTTCTCTTTATTTATTTGTTTACATTTTATTTTATTTTTTTGCCAGTGCTGGGGCTTGAACTCAGGGTCTGGGTGCTATCCCTGAGCCTTTTTGTGCTCAAGGCTAATGTTCTACCACTAGTGCCACAACACCACTTCTGGCTTTTTTAAGTAGTTTATTAGAGATAAGAGTCTCATGAGGACTTTTTTGCCGGGGATGGCTTCCAACCCTGATCCTCACATCTCAGCCTCCTGAGTAGCTAGGATTATAGGCATGAACTATAGGTGCCAGGCTGGAACATTCTTTTTATTTTTTATTTTTTTTTTGTCGGTCATGGGGCTTGAACTCTGGGGCCTGGGCGCTGTCCCTCAGCTCTTCAGCTCAAAGCGAGTGCTCTACCACTTGAGCCACAGCGCCACTTCCGGTTTTCTGGTGGTTTATTGGAGATAGGCGTCTCACGGTCTCTCCTGCCCGGGCTGGCTTTGAACCGCGATCCTCAGATCTCAGCCTCCTGAGTAGCTAGGATTACAGGCGTGAGCCACCAGCGCCCGGCTACATTCTTTTTATTGTATCAATATATTATCTTCTTCACAACTAATTAAATTGCAAAAGCAACTAATACAATTAGATTACGGTCTGATTCATAAAAACCTACGATATAACACAACTGTTGTAAGGCTTTCACAACTCAAAATTATTGTAACATTGATGGTATTATAATACACTTGAATGTGAGGAAAATGCCAGTGTAATAGATAGGCCAGGGCTGGGAATGTGGCTTAGTGATAGAGGGCTTGCCTAGCATGCATGAGGCCCTAGGTTCAATTCCTCAGTACCACATAATCAGAAAAAGCCAGAAGGGGCACTGTGGCTCAAGTGGTAGAGAGCTAGCCTTGAGCAAAAGAAGCTCAGGGACAGTGCCCAGGCCCTCAGCTTAAGCCCCAGGACTGGCTAAATAAATAAATAAATAAAAATTCCATTAGCCAATAATCCTTACTGTCCAAGGAAATCTGATTGTCCCTTATGTGTCATGGAATGAATAAATGTTCCGAGCAAGGCCAAGGCCCATGTACTCATTAAAGGTGCGTGTGTCGTCTTTGGTGTCAGCTGCGCTCCCACATGGCACTTAATATAAAGAACATTTATCTTTTAAATATTTAATTCTTATATGGACTTACTTCCATGAGACTTTAGTGCTGGTTCTGTGACTGAGGTTGGTTAAGCAGAATTATCCAGGGATGCTTAAATACAATGTACAGATTGGGCTAATAGGAGATCAGCTTCCATGGAGGTACTATTAACAGTGTATGTTCTTTCTGAAATTTAGTTCCATGTTTGTAACAGGAGCTATGAATGTATTTGCATACTGTGATGCAATGAGATGAATTTTTTTTTTTGGGGGGTGGGTCCGGTCATGGGGCCTGAACTCTGGACCTGGTCTCTCTCCCTCAGCTCTTCAGCTCAAGGCTAGCACTCTACCACTTGAGCCACAGCACCACTTCCGGCTTTTTTCTTTTTGCTTATGTGGTGCTGAGGAATCGAACCCAGGGCTTCAGGCATGCAAGGCAAGCGCTCTACCACTGAGCCACCTTCCCAGCCGAGATGAATTTTTTTTTTTAGTGTAAACTTGGTTCAAATCCTTGCACTCTTTGTATTTGTTTCAAAGATTTTTTATTTCTTGGCTCTACCACTGGAGCCACAGCACCACTTCTGGTTTTCTGGTGGTTAACTGGAGATAAGAGTCTCATGGACTTTCTTCCCTGGGCTGGCTTTGAACTGCAATCCTCAGATCTCAGCCTCCTGAGTAGCTAGGATTACAAGCATAAGCCACTGGTGCCCGGCTACCTAATTTTTTATGTAAACTCATTAAATCCAAAAAGGAAAATAAAAGTCAATATAAAAACAAAAAGGCACATGCATGTTGGGTATCAGTGTGCCCGCAGGCCTACCTGTCAAAGTGCTGCTTCATTTGCTTGCATGCGTAGTAGTTTCCGTCTCTTAGGCTCTGCATCTTCATAACTTCAGAAAATGTTCCCTCTCCTATTTTGCCAATTGCTTTATAGTCTATAATTTAAAATAATTAGAAAAAAGTTTGATATATTTTATATCACTTCCCATCGAGTGATGATATATTTGATATCATTTCGCAGCATATGCTGAGCACGGTTCTCTGGTTCACTGTCTTCCCATAAGGAGAAACCATGTTGCATGGCACCCCAAAGATCCCTGCTTGCCCCCCCACTCTCCCGCCGCTCTGCTTAAGCAGGAACTACCCCACTGGACTCTGCCGGCGATGAGAGGCCCAGCCACCGCGCAGGGCTGGCGAGGGCAGGGCCTCAGCTGTGGCACTGGATAGGTGCCACACGGCCACCGGAAGCCTCTGAGCATCTGCCGTCTTCACCCCTGTCCCACAGAGCACCCACTCAGCAACGGTTGCCTGCAAGTCTCACAGGCCTCACTTTCTGAAAGTTGCGTGGCTTGGCCACCACCATCACGCGGGCCGCAAGCCTCCAGTTCCCTCCTCCCGGTGGAGGGGCATCCAGACAATGACGGGCACAGGGGAGAAGTGCGCCTTCCTACCCGGAAGCGGCAGGCGTGGAGAGCCCTGCCAGCAAAAGTCCTGTGGGCTGCATAGATTCCATACCCCAAAGAATAGGAGAAGAAACGGCAGAACACGATGGCAGAGAGTGGGCCCGTGCACCTTCCAGTGGGTGTGGACCCGCAAGGCTGGAGAGACTCGGTGGCAGAGCGCTGGGTAGCCCGTCAAGGTCCCGAGTTCAAGAGGGAAGAGCAGGGCTGAGGGAGGGGTGGACTGCTGTAGGACTCGGGCGGGTGGGGGGGAGCTGAGCAGATGGCTAGGTTAGGGAAAGTCAGACGTAAGGTGTACAGGTGGAAGCCAGCCTGGAGCACCCGCGCAGGCAGCGCTGAGATGCTTCCCAGCCCCGGCCTCGCTGCATCCTCGAGACAATGAAGTCCTAAAGCTAGGAAAGGATGATTTTCTGGTGAATCTTGAAAATAACCTGGCCAGTCCCGGCTCTGGACCTCTCGCTCTTCAGTCCTACGGCACTCGCACATCCTCACAAATGGCTAGGGAACAGCTTGGGCAAATGTTTGCGTCTTCTCCAAAGTCAACACTGAGGAAAGCTCAGCGGGCCCCGTGCCTTTGCTAGGCTCTGCCTGACTTACATAGTACCCAGCCAAGGGATGGCCGCCGGCGCCACCGGGGAACAACACCACACTTCTCCTTCGACTTGGCAGTATCCTCAGTCCAAGAGGACTGAGATCAGTCTGTGGGGGCTGGGAACGTGGCTCAGTGGTAGAGTGCTTGCCTAGCATGCATGAAGCTGGGTTCGATTCCTCACTACCACATTAAAAGAAAGAAAAAAAGAAAAGGCCAGATGTGGCTCAAGTGTAAAAAAAGTTCAGGGACATCGCCCAGGCCCTGAGTTCAAGCCCTGGGACTGGCAAAAAAAAAAAGAGGTCATTCTGTGTGCAGATTGGCATCCAGAGTAGGCCAGACGTGGCCCTGCCTGGAAAGGTCCATTTGCAGATCAGTGGCTGTGGCTGGTGTCTAGCAGATGTATTTCAGGACTTTCCAGCACTTCCTCTGTGGTAAGGAAGGCCCACCGTCCCCGAGCCGCCTGTGAGGCCATGCACGTCTGCTGCCGTTCCAGGCAGAGCGCGCTGCCTTCGCGGCTTCCCTGGGGAGTGAGGAGCAGACTTGGCAGGACTGCAAGCGCTCTCTGCCTCACTCCTTCTGGACTTCGCCCTAGGCGTCCTGCCCCTTTGCTGACCAGGCTGGATCCTTCCATCGCAGTAAGTCCCACAGAGGCGAGTACAACTGTATGCTCAGTCCCAGGAGTCCTAGCCCGTGGTGCCTCTACTACAGCCTAAACAGATGAAACGCACATGATAATAGGCCTAAACTCCATGGCTGTGGCTAAAGCTGGGCTAGAACCAGGCACTGTGCAAGCACTGCCAGCACGCACTAATGACTCCAAACACACCCACTCGCCTCATTGTAGGTCCTTTCCTCATAAAAGAAAAGGGGTTAGCCAAATGCTGTCATCCTAGATACTCAGGAGGAGATCTGCCGATCATGGTTCAAAGCTGCCCAGGCAGGAGAGTCCATAAGACTTTTTTTTTTTTTTTTGGCCAGTCATGGGGCTTGACATCTGGGCCTGAACACTGTCCCTCAGCTCTTCAGCTCAAGACAAGCGCTCTACCACTTGAGCCACAGCACCACTTCCAGTTTTCTGAGTGATTTATTGGAAGTAAGAGTCTCACAGACTTTCCTGCCCGGGCTGGCTTTGAACCTCGATCCTCAGATCTCAGCCTCCTGAGTAGCTAGGATTACAGGAGTGAGCCACTCTTATCTCCAATGAAGCACCAGAAAATCAGAAGTGGCTCTGTGGCTCAAAGTGGCAGAACACTAGCCTTGAGCAAAAGAGCTCAGTGACAGTGCTCAGACCCTGAGTTCAAGCCCCATGATCAACAACAACAACAAAAAAAAAGAAAGAAAGAAAGAAAAAGAGGTTAGAGAGAACTGTTAGATAATATTAGATGATACTGTGTTTAGATCATATTAAGGGTCCACTCACTAAGTGTGTAATGCAATGTGTAATACATGCACACTAACGATGCTCTGGATTCCGGTCTCAAAGGACAGACCTGGTACACCTTTGGGCACGTCTCCCCTCTTGTGTGGATGCCCATCCTTTGTTAGCAAACTGCTCCCGTTTTGCTGCTCCTTTCCCCACGGCCAAAAGATTCTTGGGAAGATGTCTGTTCTCACTTGCGTCCCGGACAACTTGCTAAGTGACTCAAGGTGACAGGTCAGGCGCCTCATCTCATGGCTCTACGCAGGGGTCCACACTGTTCTCTGCACAAAACCCTTTCTCCATGTCCATCTATTAAAAGGCTGGACATGTCCCACCACACAGAGTGACCACTCCCTTCACCTCCCAGGTCAGACCATCTCTAGAAATCATGTGATCCTCAGATCACAAACTGCCCAAGAGAATTTTTTTTCCTAATTATATACTATGAAATTAAGCATAGGTGATTCATTCATAGCTAATTTCACATTCCAGGAAACACAAAAATAAACAAAGCCACAGAATACTTACCTTGAATGCCCAAAGGCCCAAATAATTTTTTAAAACAAAGTTCATTCTAAGTAGCTTATCATACGTCCTGTGCCTTTTATTTTTAGTGCTGGGGATGGAACCTAGGACCTCACACACGCTAAATAAGCATGCTACCACTGAGCCACACCCCCAACCCAACGTACCATTTTTTCAAATTAATTTTTAAATTTAAAGAAAAAAATGTGGAGACTAAGTAGAGAACTCCCACCGCCCTGCACCTGCTTCCTCTATTATCAGCATCTTCTACATGGCCCCTTTGTCATGGTGAACAAGCCACCTTTGGTGGATTATTATCAACTAAAGCCCGTACTGCATTCTGAGTTCCTTCATTCTCACTCACTGGGCCATCTCAGGATTCTGTTCAGGACTTACAGCACTCAAGTCTGGGGGAGTGCCCTTCAAAAGGGCACATATAAAGGTTGCTCCTGGCCACACTACTGCAAGTACTGTGGCTCCTTAGGGGCAGGTCAAACCCGGCATCCTCAGGTGCTTCGGGAGTGGGCTCGTCAGTCCTTTCTTTCCACTTCCTGCTTGAGGTGGCTGAATTCATTCCAACCATGGGCTCAGCTTACCTGAGGCATAAACAAGTGGGGCTGCCTCATGTTAGCCTTAAACCTCCAGCATCATGAGTCAAAATACACCTCTGCAGAGCACCAGCGGCTCACACCTGTCATCCTAGCTAGCCCATGACAGGCAAAAAAGAAAAAAAAATGACCAGGTATTTGGTATAGTGCTACAAAGCTCACAGAAACAAATAAAACAGTCAGCATGACTCATTAGGCTGGCTATCTATCTATAGTCAGTACCTGGATCTGAACTCAAGGCCTCCTGCTTGCTCAGCTGGTACTCCCTCACTTGAGCCGTGCCAGCTTTTTGTTGGTTGTTTGATGGTGATGGAGCCTCCTAGACTGTTCTGCCTGGGCTGGCGTTAAGCCCGACGCGCTGGATCTCAGCCTTCTGAGTAACCAGGATTGCGGATAGGAGTCACCTGCACCAAGCTTTGGACTCCTCTTTTGTCTTAGTTCCCTCGATTTTCCCTGCTTTGGTGACAATGACAGTTATCACTTGAGCAGAAGTCAAGTGTTTGCAGAACACCCTCTGTCAGAATCACCTACTTTTTTCCTTGTCATCAGAGCACCTGTTATCAACGAGGCATAGCTGCTACTGCCCGCCGGGGTCCCAAGGCCACTATTCCATACCTTCCTCTGGAAGGCCCTCACTGCACAGCTCCTCTCAAGAGTGAGGTGCTGCCCGGGGCTGGTGGCTCACGCCTGTAACCCTAGCTACTCAGGAGGCTGAGATCTGAGGATTGTGGCTCAAAGCCAGCCTGGGCAGGAAAATCCATAAGACTCTTATCTCCAATTAACCAACAGAAAAACTGTAAGTGATTCTGTGGCTCAAGTGGTAGAGCGCTCGCTTTAAGCTGATGAGCTGAGGGACAGCGCTCAGGCTCAGAGTTCAAGCCCCACAACCAACCAAAACAAAACAAAACAAGTTACTACAGCTAGGGGCCAGGAACTCATGCCTGTAATCCTAGCTACTCAGGAGGCTGAGATCTGAGAATTGATCATGGTTCAAAGCCAGTCTAGGCAGGAAAATCTCCAGGAGACTCTTATCTCCAGATAATCACCAGAAAACCAGAAGTGGTACTGTGGCTCAAACTGGTAGAGTGCTAGCCTTAAGCAAAAGGACTCAGGGACAGTGCACAGGTTCTGAGTTCAAGCCCTGTGACCAACAAGGGGGGCAGGGAGAATAAGGTGCTATCTACTGTATCTGAATTGCAAGAGATAACTGTAAAAAAATTACTACAGCCCGGCACTGGTGGCTCACGCCTGTAATCCTAGCTACTCAGGAGGCTAAGATCTGAAGATCATAGTTCAAACCCAGCCGAGGCCAAAAAAAAAAGTCCCTGAG